TCCATCCCTGTCCATCCATCCATCCCTCCATCCATCCATCCATCCATCCATCCATCCATCCATCCATCCATCCATCCATCCATCCATCCATCCATCCATCCATCCCTGTCCATCCATCCATCCATCCATCCATCCATCCMTCCATCCMTCCATTGCCTCACTGCAATGGTAAAGGGATTTGAGAGCACCTACACTGAGTCTCCTGTCCATCCTCAGTGCTGGAGGAGGCTGAAAATCAGCACATCCATCCATCCATCCATCCCTCCATTGCCTCACTGCAATGGTAAAGGGATTTGAGAGCACCTACACTGAGTCTCCTGTCCATCCTCAGTGCTGGAGGAGGCTGAAAATCAGCACAGAGGGGTTTGGTTTGTTGGGATGGGAAAGCAGCTGAGTCCCAAGCTCTCAGCTGCAGTCAGGGCCACTGGGAAAAAGCCACAGCTCACATGGTTTACTGCAGCAATCTGCTCTGGGGCAGCAACAGCCACATCCAAGGAATGGCTGCTTCTCTCTTTCTTTTACCAGCCCCTCTAAAATTTTCCTTCAGAGCTGACAGCACTTTAGTTGGTAGCAATGTATTTAATAAGAGAAAATCAGCATCCTTAATTAACCCACAGACATTCCCACCACTGACATATGGACRTTCTGCTGGACTCTATCACAGTGCTCAATTCACAGATTCAGGCTTGCTCTGCTGCTGTTGSTGTGAATTTCCTTTTATCCTAATCAATCAAATATGTCCTATAATTCATAATTATTTTTCCTCTGCACCAATAACACACAATCTTGCATTTCCCAGTAAATTCAATTTACGACTGGAAAATATGCAGGCCACAACTTCTTGTAGTGTTTTAAGTGGGCACTGACCTCTTTTTGTGTTTTCAGGCACAACTATTACATAAAAAATAAAAAGCCACAGAACCAACATAACAGTGTGTTTGCTTGGGAGCACAGAGTACACAGCTGTGTGTGTTGCAACACGGCCATCCTGAATTGCAAGGATTTCGTGCTTTTCAAACAACGTTCGTGACATCTGGGAAATGTTTCTGCAAGAATAAATAGGCACACAATGTCCTGAAAGGTACATGGCTCCTCATTTCYCCAAAAGCTTTCTAAATCCCTCAGTACAAGTCACTTGGTCCCTTTGGTGTGAAAAAAGTGCATTTTTGTGTTGTTCTGTAGGTACCCTCCACCTGTAGAAGCACTTCAGGGGGGGAGATGGTGGAATTATTTATATCAGATTTATTTATATCAGATTTATTTATATCAGATTTATTGAGGCAGACAAGACCTGAGAGCTGCCCCCAGCAGAAATTCCTCACACAACGTGCACTTTGAATCACGTGGCTCAGAGGTGGGTTGTATTTGCCTTACAAGTTACAAGGCAAATTATTTGGTTATAAATCAATCTTAGGTCACAGCCCAACTCACTCCTACCTCTCACTAAAGCAGTTATGAGGAAATATTTCTTTCTGAAGTGGAAAAAAATGTGKTTTTCCCACCCTCGTGTCACTTACAGGTAGAGGTTTTAATTTCAGAAAGCTGCTTCTGGTCCAGGAATTTAAGGGATTTTAAGGCCAAAAAAGAAATTCAGGCTGCTTTCCCCAGTAGTAGCGATGAAACAGAACCACAAACACGAACTCAAAGACCCCAGGAAATGTTGCTGCAGTACAAAACTGTAAAGGAAAATATTTACCTCAAATGTGCGCAGAACTTTRGCCAATGCCCCGACTTCTTCTTTCAGGGAGAAAATCAAAGAAATCACACCATTCTTATTGGGGGAGTCTTCAATGTACCTAGATTCCTGAAAGGAAAGAGAAAATATATTAACACAAATATATATTTGTGCA